GCCTCCACCAGTGTGTGAATGGGTGGATGACTGGGTAAAGCGCTTTGGGGTCCCTAGGCGGGACTAGTAAAAGCGCTGTACAAATACAGGCCATTTAACATTAAATGAAATGAAGGTAGCTTTAAATAAATAGAGGGGGAATAGATAATGCAGAGCAGGCTTTGGTTTGCAGTGGTGGGGTACAGCACGAGCTGTTACTGTGCGTCAAAAACAGGACGGTATTCGAACAGCCTTAAAGTCTCATTTCCCTTTGGAAGTCTTGTAATCACTTGACAAACAGCCGAGAGATCCGAGCCTCGGGTAGTGACGAGCCAATGAAACATCCTTCAAGAGCGCCTGAGAAAGTCAGAAAATGATTACATCCCCTGTACGGTCACCACATGTGCTGCGTGAAGGATCTGTTTCTACTGATCCAGAAACAGGAGATAATCTGGACTTTGAACTCTGCTTTAATGTATAACATCTAACAATTCTTAGATGTTCTCTTTTCTTAATGTGTAAAATCATTTTCCTCATCAAACTAAATGAACTCACAGCGGGAAGCCCGGCACATCCATGTTGCAATGGAAAAAGACACTTTTTTCCCTCTTTTTCCTTCTCCGTTTAACAAACTGTGGAAACGGTTCCACTCGATGAGCCGGCAGCTATGAAGCGTCTGTCTTACAGACTTAAACATCTTTGAACTTCAAACATTACCAGAGTGTCCTGACACTCATAAAAGAGCCTTTCATATAATCCAACTTCCCATCTCGACAGGGTAACCAGTACCTTGATAACCAATTGCCACAAATTCATGTTAATAATAATTGTTTCCTTCTTTCTTTATTTTTATTGTTATTGCTCATAAGCTTTAAGCAAGTAACTGCATTGGGGTTAAAGCACATCATGCACAAGCACAACTGTTTGTATAATTAAAGTTAGGCCACCCTCTAGTGGACTGATCCCATATAGCAGCCTCACAAAGCTCACTCGTTCATTTTATTTTTATTTTTTATTTTAACTGTTGTGATTATTTTTGTATGACACTGCCAATGCCAAGAAGCTAAAAAGGCAACTTCAGCTTTTATTTTACTGTAACTGAGAAAATCTTGATTGCTACTAGAGATACTCCAGTGTCCTCATGCTGAACTGCACCACTGCATATTACACATAAATGCTTCCATGTAGCTGTACTGTTGAATTTAAGTGTCCAGCTGTTTTATTGCTTCACTGTATAACTGCAACTGACAAGCAGTGGATGCCATCTAGAGATGATGAGGCCGCGCTATAAACACTGCTTCCTCTCTCCTTCAGTCAGACTGCATCTGTGTTTATACCAGCTGCTGCTCCATGCATTTCGACATGTGGACAACCGACTATAATCAGCTTTTCTAGCCAGCTGCTATTTTTTCATATCTAACAAATCACACAAGCATGCAAAAATATATACAGTATACCATCTTAGACTGATTACTCTAAAACGTGATGTTACAGGTGTAATGTTAGCTGTGTTTCTGTGTCAGTTTTTGTTGCTCATTTGCTGTTCATTTCTAGACTGGAGTAAAATATACCTTTTTGCCTTATAGATACACTTTGATTTATCTATTTATTTATTTTATATTTTTGAATGTGGGTTTGGGCATTTTTTTAGGTCAGCTCATCATAAGTGCTATGCACCCTGTAGACCAGTAGAGGGAAACATATGCTGTTAATATTCACAGAATTTATGGCAAATATTTTTAAAGGGGCTTTTTAAGCTAATTTCCAGATCCATTTTTTGCAAATATTTTTATTACTGGATGTATCCTACACTGGACAGAGCTCAGAGCTTGTGAGCATTGGCAGTGTGGACTGTCATAACTGGCAGAACCCATTTGGTGCATAGCTTGCAGAAAATCTGACTTTTGAACAAGTGTATGAGGCAGATTCAGGAACAGGTTTTGGTCTTTGGAATGAACATATTCTGCTATAGATTCAGAGTTTTTAAACCTAGAAATAGCTGTTAAAATATATTGGTATGATTTAAAATAAGAGAAATATTCAATAAAATCATGAACCAAACCATACCTCATATTTAAAAAAGGCAGGCAAGTAACAGTTCTTAAATCCAACTTGATAAAGCTGTAAAAAGTAACATTATCTTGAATGGTAGCAAAATGTAACTCAGCCAAACCACACGAGGTCACGTTGGAAACACAAGCAGCACAGAGAGAGATACTGAGCTATAATAATGACTTGGATAATGGCTTAAATGGTGGAATCCAAGCAGCCAAAGAACCTTTAATTATTTACTTCTTTGTCAAGTTGTCCAAAATTAGAAGAAACTGTGCAATAGTATGAAAGCATTAGGACTCTGTTTTGTTTATGTCTGTGGCGTGCACATAAATGTGGGGTATTACCAGCCTTTGCAGATTAGAAGGAGCTCATACCATACCAATATGCCGAGTCTCAGCAGCAGACTTTAAAAACCTGGGTCCCTAAACAAGCCAGAGGGCAGTGTGCAGCAACAATAATGCTTATTGGAAGTAGCACAGACTCTTGGGGCCTATGGGGGTCCTAACACCTATTACAGTAAGTCAACTCAATACTTAGAGACAAAGCTGTAATCTTGTTAATGATGAAGTGATGTGCTCTTTGACACTTAATCTGACTGTGGTCTTTTATTCTACTATTTCTATTTTGTTCTATTAATATTTCATATTCTACATTAGTCATTGTTAATAATTTAACACAAATCATCTGTCATAGATCAAAAGGCTGGGACTTTTTCTGTTAGGCATGTATGTACTTGGCTATTCTTATGTCTAAGGTTATATGTAAAAGCAGCTACAGAATTTAAGGTTATGTTCATTAAGTAGGCCATGCCATACTTGTAGAGGCAGTAATGGTGGTTTTAGTTTAGGGCTAGTAGATCCAGAGTCCACAATCAAGACTAGAAGTTCTTAAGACCACATCTCACAATGCTGTGATTGCAACTGTTCCCCAACTCTCTGTGAATGGTACTCATGGCCTTTGATCAATGGTCTTGACAATTTGTATATTAATGATCAAGGGACTGACCTTACAGCCCATTGTTCATTTGGTGGG